GACTCTGTATACACTTTAGCTATTAATCTTGCCCTTTCCTCACTATATAGTGAGTTCGAGAAGCATGACTTCCACTGTCTAACTTACTGGTCACTTCTTGCAGCAGAATAGTTTCTTATGGGTCTGGTTTCATAATCGACTACCTGTCTGCGAATGCACGACGGTGAAGAATGTGAATTCCTCATCTCAAGAGCTCATTTATGTATTAATTTATAGAATTGTGTAATTCTTTGAAAGAAAAAGCTGAATAATTAATTATTGACAAAGTCTTAGCGTTCTACTAAACTCGAGACAACTTAAATGAATTACGCAATCGCGTCACCTATGAATGGCCCAGTGAAAATACTTACAGCTCACGACTGTCTCTGACCGTGGCTATTTCCTCTCCGCGTATAACCTACTTTGCTCCATCAAACAGGAGGAAAAGGCGCAGATGGCTAAGTAGGCGGAAAATTTAATCACCAAAAGGAACTGATCGCCTCTTGCGCTTTGCATTATGGGTGTGAGGGCGGAGGAGCGATAGTGTGAAGTGGCGAGGGCCAAGGATGATATTCACACAACATTAAAACGAGTGACACCGGCGACGTTCAGGAGATGGTAGTATTGCAGTGAGCCTCATGATGACAGTCGATCGAACCAGAGACTCATTCATATATAAAATTACAATATACAGAGTCGAAATAAGGGAAAGAGAGACAGAGTAAAGATGATCAAGTATCAAATAATGTTGAACAACTCTCCAACAGTCGGTAGTGTGTTTTCATGTGTTGGTGTAATTTCTTGGCTTTGGACATATCAGATAAAACGTTGGACCAGCGAAATAATACGAGATGAGGCGGGGAGGCAGAGAGAGAAAAAAAGAAATTAAAGGAGTTGGGAGAAATGCACTGTCAGTGGCAATGAATGCAATCATATGATATTTGCCTTTCCCGATAGCCGGAAGCCGGAACTGAGAAGGCTGTTCTACGTCTCCTCCTACGAGAGCATGCTCTTACGACGGTCGTCGTATGGGTCCCCTGAAGGTAAGAAACAAATGATTACGTGGGAGTGGTTTGCACAGATGGAGTTCAGTCCTACACTCAATGTCGACTTAACTTACCGATGACTCGCGTGCTGTAGGGAAGAGGGGCCACTCCGACACCACTACTACCGCCGGTGCCATTGTGAAATTGCTGATGACTGAGATATTGACCGAAGAGGCTGGAGGATGGGACATGGTGTTGACTCGATATTGTGGAGGAAGACTGCTTCGAATCACAGTTGAGAAACACGCCTGGTGCGTAGCCCGTTATGGTGCCCCCGCCTATGCCATTCTGGTTGGGCAAATAACATCGAGGCGCTATTACAGGTGGCCGAACCGCATTAGTCGAGGTTACCGAAACGGGACGCTGATGAGCTGATGTGCCACCAGTGACAAATGCAGCTGATACGCCTCCTCCTGATTGATGGGGAGGCAGAGGAGGCGGGGGCCCAGCTTGGCGGTGCAGGTAGGGCTGCTGGTGCACCTGACTTGGTTTTGGCTGATTCTACAATCGTAAAATTCCATAAAACCACCCGTAGTCACCCATCTAAGCGATCCTTAAGAATAATATCCGACAGTTTAAACATTCATGAGTGAGCTAATATAGAGGTCAACGTTTTTCAACGCAATAAGATCCGTTCAACCAGCCTGGTACCAAAAGACTACTCAATAGATGATAGGTAACCAGAGAGCAAAGTGAGGAACCCACATTGAATTCATTGTACACAACGGGCATTGAGTTGCGGTAGTTTGTGGATCCGTTGGTGTGGTGGTGATAATGTGAATGATGATTAGAAGAAGGAATCTGAGAAGCAATGCCAGGATCTCTATGAAGTCGTACGCCAGGCACGTCAAAAATACTAGCACAGTTGGGAAGGTTGGCGAGTGCCTCCAATGGAAGGCCCCCACTAATGCCACTGCCAGAGGAGGCAGTGGCTGTGAGGGGACGTGAGAAGTAGGCATGCCTGAGGGCATCGGCAGCAGAGATGCGTCGAGGACCAGGGTAAACGAGGAGCTTGCTGAGGAGAGCTTGACCCGACGGTGAAAACTGAGGTGAGAGAGGGAAGCGGCCTACCGGCGGATAGGGGCCATAGGCGAGAGCTTTGCTGAAATGCGGATGGGTGGTCACTCCAGGCCAGGAGGTTTCCGTTGGTGTCCCTGAACGCACACAAAAAATGAGAAGAGGGCCGCGTAGAACAGTGCATTGAATTAAGCGACTCTCAAGTGCGCAACTGCGGTCATCGCCATTTTTAGCCATCCTTTACCAGTCTCCCGCTCCTATATGTGCGTACATATTTTCATTCCATAGCATTCCTAACTTAGCTGATCATTCTACTCGCAATTCTACGACTCCGAACGCGAGTGAACTGCCGGTACTGAAATCGGCTAAAAAAGAGCGTGGCAGGTTGTCTACTGATTCGAGAAACCGGGGTTAGAGAGGATTCGGAGTTTTTTCCCGCTCCACATCCTTTGGAGTAACAATTAATATCGCATCCATTGGGATTCCGCCATTGAGTCAGGTAGTAGTAGCTTTTTCATTGAAAATTCATACCTCTGCACGTACAATTAATTTATGAGATGGTTTTGACTGCACCCAAATGGTACGATCGCACTCATGCACACGCGCACAAACGTGTAGAAGTAGATACAAACAAATGGTTCCACAATTGGAAATTTCGTATTTACTAAAGCATGGTACCCCTTGATCCTAATGTAGAGACAGAAGACGACATCCACTAAAGAGGACAAGTAAAAATCAATTCATAGGCATAGATCTCATAGGTTAAAGCGGATCCTGAAGAGTAAACACGTCTCCCACTCCTTCCTCTGAAGAAAGGAAGAATGTGCCTAAACAACCTATTGGTCAGAGTGGCGAGAAAAGATAAGGGAGGAGAGGAGAGACTCACCAAGGCGCTTGAAGATAAGAGTTAGCTCCTCCTCCACCGTAGAGCCAGGGAAGAGAGGCCACCCAGTGGCCATCTCAAAAAAGATGCATCCCACACCCCACATGTCGATGTGCGTTGAGTACTCCGTAGAACCCAGCAACACGTCTGGAGGTCGATACCTGTCCGAAGGGCGAATACTTCTGGGTTATTGTTGCGTACTGACAGGCAACTTAATGCTTTTGGGAACTGTCTTGACAACTTATAAAACCTTTTTGGAGAAGGAACGATTAAATGGTTTCATCAAGAAACCAAATAATATCCCAAGGAGAACGTTCAACCGCCTCAATGAATTTCGACAATCAAGTGTAACATTGCATTGGAAAATCTGCCCGCATAATATGTTGTTGTCTACGATCCAACAATATTTGAGACCAATTCTGAACTATCTAAAGAATGAGAAAATGTCCGTAAGGGATCAACAGAGGCATTTTTAAATGCCACAGTTCATTACAACCCGGAGTGGATAATATGCCAAATAAAGCATCCGACACTAAGACGCAGAAAAGTTCCCATTTACAAATATGCTAGTAATGAAGAAGGCAAATTATTAACGCTCTCGTCCTACCCGTTTTAGGAAGCATTACCTCTCAACGTCGGAGCAGAAACAGCGTGTCTCCGTTTGCAGAACCACTGTTCGATCGCCTACCGACTTATAGTTTTGGTTTTAAAGGATGATTCGTTTTTAGAAGTCGTTAGATATGATCAAGGACTTTACGACTATCCAACTCGCATGGACAATGAAAATGCATTAAAATAACTGCACCAGAAGAGAAAAAACTGTCTATCCTTTGAGAATCATCAACTACAGCATACAGAATTGTTGCTGCTCTGACAACTTAGCTGAGGCTTCCAAGTTTCCCATCCAAAATAGGCTTAAAAGTTTTACACCAGACGAGAAAACAAAAAGGAAGCATATCCAATCCATTTTTGATGTCGCGATATGTAGAATACTTGTAATTGAAGCTGCTAGGGCCGTCCGAATAAATAAGCAGATCAAAGCACGAAGCAACGCTCTGATTGGAGGCCTGTGCAAGAATGCATTGCGTAAGAAAGCTCTTGGTCAATGGGATTCACCCAAGCGGTCAAATGGAAGTAGGCTTTTTCTCACGTTTCTTCAAGCAGGTGCTATTTCGAGCACAAATAGAAGTACAATCGGCTGTAATGTGAGTTTTTGAACAAATCGAATTTTCCATTTCATGAAGTGCCAAAATTGCTTTATTAATAATCGGATTTTCGGCACTTCCATGACTGTCACTGATCCAGAAATCAAAGCGAATGAATTCACACCAGACAGAGGACCTAGCTTTCCACAATTAGCAGTCTAGATAGCGTTGAAAACGACGGAACCATCCGTTTTTGGATGTAACTCGAGAGGTACTCCTTCGCACAATAGAGTCAAATCAACTGCAAAGCCAAATGTATCCGCCTCGGTAAATTTTGACTCAAAATAAGTAGCAAAGAAACAGTAAATTCACTCCTAAAATCGACTCATTCGCTGATGTCTCTCAATTGACCAAAAAAAA